TATATTATTAAACAAATAATACTATCTACAATATGTACAAACTACAATGCAACATACATATATAAAATTTATAAAAACTTTGAGGCACTCCCCATTTCTCACACATGCAATTTCTAATTGAACACATTTAACACTTTTACAAAGTTTGAATAATAGATGCCCGAAAAATTAGAATACAAAGTCGGCAAATAAATGTAACTAGCAAAAGCTTTTTGCGAGCTAAATGAATAAAAGAGGAGGGGAAAAGTGGTTTTTGATTAAAATTCGGATAGAAATAAAACAAAAGGGAAAAACTTGATTTAAAGAGATATATTTGATGGGCCATTTGCCATTTTACCATTTTGCCATTTCTCCATTTTCCATTTGCATATGGGAAATCGCATGCAATTCGACCAATTTCCCTGACCCACACAAAAGGAGCAACCGAAAGTTTGTTGTTTTTGTTGGTTTTTTGTTGCTTTTGGTCTTTTTGAGCTGTGTGCGGGTCAAACAAAATGCGAACTTTTATAAATTACAGTCAGTAGCACTGACCTCAATATAAAATTACACAACATGACTTGAATAAACACTCACACACTCACACACACACGCACACATATATGTATGTACACTGTGCAAAAAGAGAGGAGCAATTGCAAGTGCCATAGATACGAGCGTAATTGCATTTTACTTTGTTGCATTTGGTCAGGCAAAAAGCTAGAAAAGCCAAAGTCAAACAGCCAACCACATAGTGTATATACGCACACACTCACACACACATGTGTCAACTTTTTTGCCTTTTGCTGCTGCCTTTGCTGCTGCTATTATTATTATTATAATTTTTGTTGTTGTTAATTTGTAACTGTAGCAAACAACAAAAGCCAAGCGGGTCGCAAAAGTGGGCGTGTCACCACAGGAGGGGCATGCGGCAAAGTCAACACTGTGAGCAGTTTTATCAGTCAACGCGGCACAAATGCAGCTGCAACAACACTCTTGCAATGACAAAAAAAAAAAAAAAAAAAAAAAAAAATAATGAAACATAAACAAGACAGAGGCTGAGGGCACAAACCAAACCAGAAATGAACAGAAACAACAAAACAATAATAAGAGCCACAGCAAATAAAACACACACAAGCTGGGGGGAAAATCTTACAAAAAATTGCAATAATCTAAACAAGAAAATTTCTCATTTGTTGCGCAATTTAACATAAATCTAAAGAGGAAATGAAGTACGAGCCCAGAACGAAACTTAAATACACTATGTTTAGTTATGTGGTAATTTATTAAGTAATATATTTTTTTTATTAAGAATATAATGAACTAAACCGAATTGGAAAAGTAGCAGAGCCAAACCAAAATTTTATTTTTATTTAATTATAATTTTATACAACTTCCTATAAATGCCGATAAAAAAAATATATATTTTAAAATTATGTTTTATATCATTTTAGTGCAGTCTTTGGATCAAAATATTCTCTTAAAATTATTTTGTTCTATTAAAAAATATCTATAAAATAATCCTAAAAAAAAACTTTTAGTTTTACATAAAATACATATATAGCAGTGGTATATAATTTTTATGAATATTTTAATATAGTCTGTATATTTATATATATTTGTTACGAAATTTATATTATTTTTCGAAAAATAATTTATAATAATTTTTGTTCTAATAAATTGCTCTAAATATAATAAAAAATTAGTTCCTTCTAGAGCTTTACGAATTTCTAATTAAATTTTAGATTATCTCCTTTCTAAGATAAACATTTACCCAATCAAATTTGTTATTGTGTTAATCGATAATTCAATAAAATTTGAGTTTTCACAAATAGCTGACAGCCGTTAAAAAAAAGTAAGGGTAACCCATGCCATTGTCATGCCATGCTCATGTAGAAATGCACTAGATTATCGCACACATAAAGCATAATAATCGCCGGACCAAGCAAGCTCTGACAGGCAGTCAGAGGATATTCTTTTTGGGGGTATTCTTCTCAACTGAGTCGGAAACTTGCAGTGCCTCACTTTTGGGCGTGATAAATGGAGCCAAGTGCTGGGATCCAAAACCCCCCGCAAAGCCGCAAATCCAACAGAGAGTGGAGAGGGGCCGAGTGGGCGTCAATTTTTCATTTGATATCCTTCACTACATATAAGAATCTGTCTCGTGTGAATTTGGGAATATCTTGCCCTTAGCCATCTCTCTCACTCCCTATCGCTTTCTCTCTCTCTCTCCCTGTCTCTTTCTTCATTGTTGCGGACCATTGTTGGTGTTGGCTTATCCTGCCCTGACTCGGACTCGGACTCGGCTTTGGTTTTAGTTTTGTCTGTCAACTTTACTTTTCATGTCTCGCTTTAAACAATTGTCCACTGTTCCATTGTTGATTCTCAGCTTTGGCATTGATATCGGGCATATAAACTGTGTTTTCTTACAGTGCTCTAGTTTCCACTCAATGAAATAGAGATTGATGATGCGCTCTCAAAACTCACATTTGCAATGATGTATCTGTTATATATTACATCGCATAGCTCTGACAGGGTATTTAGCTATCGGGCTACGGGCCCTCTCTCTTTCTTTCTCTGTATGTTTTGGCCATGTTTTTGTTACTTTTTACATTTTGGTTCGTTTTATTGTTTCTTTTGATAAATTGTGCGCCTTTTTTTTTGACACATGTCAGCGTTTGTCTGCCCATTGTGCAAACAGTCGTAACGTAGAGGCTCTGCCTTTGATTGTCTAGGCTGAGGTTAACGCTCCCTTTCATTCAAAGAGAAATGAGGATTTTAAAGTTTGCCCAAGGTCTGAGCATATAAAGTAATATGAGGCAATAGAGAAACAGAGAGAGAGAAAGAGAGAGATATTTCCAATATAATACTAAAATTAACTATTATAGCAGTAATAAAACTTTTTTTTATATATAAAATAGCTTGGCGAATGATATACTTATTATTAGATCAAAAGAAGTCTTTTTTTTGAATTCTTCTTCTTTTAAAGAGACAGAGAGAAAGAGAGAGAGAGAGACAGAGATTTTTTTTGAGAAAGAGATATATGATTATATATATAAAAGTCGCGAGGTATTAATATCAGATTTTTTTTAAGGTAGAATGATAGAGAGAGAGAGATAAAAAGAAACGATAGAAAGCGAGTGATTTTTTTTGGGAGAGATAAACAGATGAAACTGAGCGGTAGTGAGAGAATGAGGGAGACAGAGAGAACTTGTCTGTTATAATAAAAGATAGAGAGAGACAGAGGGAGCAAGACAGAGACTTAGAGAGACATATGTATGTATACAGACAAAGAGGGAGAGAAAATGAGCTTAAGGAAAATAGAGACAGGGATAGTAGAAAAAGAGAGTGAGAGAGAGATACCACGAATGTAATCACACGAGAGCGGTTTTTTTTATAGAATAGAAAAGGAAAGAAAGTTATTTGAATGTCATAGATATTTAATATACTTTTTTTTCATATAAAGAGCTCGGATATATATTCTTATACGTAATGAAAGCCATTTGACATTTTTTTTTATATATAGTACAAATTCTTTTAATATACAAAAACAAAACACAAGAAATGAGAAGTTCATTACGCACTATTCGAAAAGGCAAAAGCTATTCATATTCTAAAAAATGTTGTAAAAGCCACATATAATAGAAAAATATATATAATTGACATACATATCAAATAGTTTCAATACACGCGCAAATATGGGCTATAGATGCCAGTCGCAATATTTTGTTTGTCGGATATGTTTGCATTAGATACAACATCGAGGCGTAACGATCTGGCAGGACAGTTGTGCTGTTGTGTGAATGCAGTCAACTATTTGCTGTCAGTGCGCCGCTTGTCACTTCAACTGACATCGGTGGGTGCACTAGGCCAGGAATAGCAGCAGCAGCTCCTGTACAGGACACACGATTACATGTCCTGTCAGCTACCAGCTACTGCCTGGCTGCCTAGCTGCCTAGCTGGCTGGCTGGCTGGCTGGCCTGATGTCTGACTGTCACGAGGGCATGTCAGCGTCAGTTTATGCGCCTGACAGCGTCAACAATTTTATTTACTTAATTTGGCTTTAGTTTGTCATTTATTTACTTGTTGGCCACAACTGCCCTATAGTCGCGCTGTCTCTCTACCTCTCACACATTCTCTCTCACTGCCTGTCGAGTGACATGCCTAACGCCATCTCATCTCAGTTGCTCATGTGCGTCTCCTAATGTCTGTTGTTGTCACTTTGACGCTTGACGTTGTTCCACTTGCTGTTTGTCGCATTTGTGCCTTTGTTTGCTCTATCGCGGGGTAGTTCCGGCTACGGCAGCCTGTTTACAGTTGTCATTGAATGTAAGAACCAAATGTTTCAAAATGCTTTTGTATAGTAAATCTATTTGTTTGTCCATTTTCTTTGGATGTCTTTTTTTACGCACATCCCATCTAGTCTCTCCAAATTTAGCATTTAAGGTGATATAAATTTGATGTTTGTTGTATTTTAAAATCCACTTGGTGACTAACTTTAGTCATTGGACTTATACAAATTTTCGTTTCCTTGTTTCCATAAAACTGTTGTTGTATACTTTCTGTTTTTCATATTTTCAATAGTATCACTGCTATATTTGGGTGTGAATAGGGGCATAGCTGGCCGGATTAGTAAATAAAATCCCCCCATCGGGCTGGTAATACTATTGTAATAATTTTCTGTACCTTTTTTAGACTATACAATTATAGTTTTTACTTAAGTTGACTCACGCTTTGCCAATATATCTATTGAAAATAAACTATAATAAAAATACGAAATTACATTATCTATTTAAAAACATCAAACCACAGATTTTCCATTTCCCACAATATTCATTCATTTTTAAATAAATTAAATGTATTTATTAAAATTAAATAAATAAATAGTTTTATGTTCTACAGAATCCAGAGAGTATTTTAAAGAAATATAAATATGATTTATATTTCTTTAAAAAAATTTTTTTTGCTTAAGAGCATTTGTAATTTTTCATAGAATGTATTAATATATACAAAATAAATTTTTTGTTAATTTTTATTTTTTATATTTATTTACTTATTTTATTTACTTATTTTTTTATTGTTTTGGTTTCCTGAAGTGCGAGTGACACAATCTGTTGACCCGCACCTCATTGCATAAGGCTGGCCTTGTTGTTGCTCATTTCAGGCCGCTGGCACCTGCTGATGAATTGTTTATGAAAATTTAGAGCTCGCGTTTGCTGTTGCTGTTGTTGTTGTTGTTGCAACACTTGCGCGCACTTTCATTAAATATTTATTTCAATCACTTGATCCAAATGGAAATACGTTCAGGTGATATCAGCCAAATCAGAGCTGAAACAGAGGGCACGTGTGGGAAAGAGAGGGGGAGGGAGAGCGAGAGAGAGGCTGCACTAACATTTGTCATTACACATTAATAGCGCACCATTAATCTTTTCGTGAGCTGTTGGCCAAATGAATGCTGCTACCAAGGGCCAAGTCCCCGTTAATTAATGTATGCCATTTAGCCGGAAAATTGCAGGGGTGCACACACACACACACACACGCATACACATGAGTCTCTGTCTGTGAGTGCAGGCCCATCATAATGAGCGCCAATTTAGTGTCCCTGTGTGTGAGTGTATGTGCGTGTATGTGTGTGTGTGTGTGTGTGTGTGTGTCTCGTTGTCGCCACCGCAAACAAGCAAAGGCCAAAGCCGCAGCCAACTCCCACACCCTCGCTCTCTTGCCCACTCGACCTCTCGCTCTCCCTTTCTTGCAATGCTGCTGTCCCGCTCACTCTGCCCAGCAGGTATGCTTGATTAATGCTTTATAACAGGACACAGTACACACAAACAAAACAAGGATATTGCCGACTGTATGGCTGCTGACCCCGCGCAGCTGACGCCCATTCGAACTGTTCGTATTGCCCTGCCTCCAGCCCTACCCCCGCCACGCCCTGCCCCTGTCATCCATTCCGACCTGCTTTATCCGCCTGGGTCCTTGCATTTTAACATTAATTTAGTGGAATGCGGCAAAGGACTATGAAAGCTTTTCAGCGTCGTCGTCGACACATGTTAATCCCGTCGTTGTCGCTACCACAACCTCTACCACTACCACTACCGCTACCAGTACCACTACCATTGCCACTACCTCTCTCCCATTTCCATTGCCATTGCCATTCCCATTCCCATTTCCATTCACATTCGCATTCACATTTACATTCATTTAGGCTCACTCCTCGAGTAGTATTTACATTACACAAACGCATTTCGTATGCCCAAATTGGAACAGCTTAATTTTTGAGAGCATATTGTAAACTAAATGCGCAAAGGGATCCACGCCCAATTAATAGTAGCAGCGCTAAAGCGCTGATTAAACAAAAACTTTAATTAGGCAGTTGGCCATATTATGTGCCAATTGAATACATTTGAATAAAAGCTAAATGTGTGTGAGTTGAGGTACTACAAATACTTTGTATGCCAGCTTAACGACATGGAATTGTAGAGACAGAGAAGCTCCTGGGAATTAATTGTTGACTATGATAGCTTTGATAGCATATTGTTAAATAAAAGTCTTCATCTATCTCTGTATGATCGCAAAGATCTCGTAAACAATTAAAAAAAAAGACTACATTTGAATATAGATTCCTTTATACCATATGCAGGAGTTGACTAACTTTGTATTTAGTATCGATTATTATCGATTATTATCGATTTTTAAATAAATTGTTATTTTTACATTAAGCACTATTGTTATTAGTTTTTATTCCCTCCCCTTCCCACTCTACATATGTCTAACTATCTCTCTCCTTTTTTTTTTTTTTTTTTGTCTCTTGCTCTCTCTCTATCTCTCACTTTCTCTCTCTTTCTTTCTCTCTCTCTCTCTCTATTTCCTATACTATTCTATACTACTGTCACTTAAAAAAAAAATTAATTTTACGTATTTTGATAAATATTTCAGAAAACATAAAAAAAATTCTCAAAAATTTGGTTTACTTTGGCAGCAGCTGTACTTTGTAATTTTTTGGCCCCCTTTAGGTCGTTTCGCTTTTAAATTGTGCAGAAGTGCTCAGTTTCTGACCCCTACCATGTGTGAGCCAAAGGCGCGCATAAAGGCAACTCCCGAGCGTTGCTTGCGCTGCTGTCCGCCGTGCTGCAATCCCTGCCTCTGCTGCCCGCCCGAGTGCTGCAGGCCATGCACCGCCTACTGCATATTCGACCTGGAGAGTGCAGTGTTTGGTAGGCGAATGCGCTGTGGCAAGGCATATGGAAAAGATTCTACAACTTACTCGTATCGCCCTTAGATACCCGTCAAATCTATCAACGCGCCTGCCGTGAGCTCCTGGCCAGCTATAATAAGACTCTGCCGGAGGCGGTGATCCTGCGCAGCGCTGCCATGGAGACGCAGGAGATGGCCGAGCTGATCTGCCGCAAGTGCAAGCTGCCCATTCCCTGGGAGAATTTCCTGGTGCAGCTGAACGAGCACACGTGCGAGCTAATTGGCAATCCGCCGCTAATCGACGGCGTGGAGCGTCTGGTCAACCACCTGCATGACAACTGCATTGGCCTGGCCCTGATCACGGCCAGCAAGAGGGAGATCTTTTGCAAGAAGATACGCGGCAGAGAGGAGTTCTTCAGCCAGTTCGATCAGGTGCTCTGCGCCGATGAGTACAATCGGCCCAAGCCGGAGCCGGATTGCTACTTGATAGCCATGCGACTGCTCTGCGATCCGCCCTGCGTCGAGTGCTGCCTGGCCTTCGATGGGACGCCCAAGGGAGTGCAGGCTGCCCGGGACGCACGCTTGAAGGTGATTATGCTGCCCGACCCGGAGCTGCCTTGCTGCTGGTCTGAGCTGGCAACGCAGCGACTCGAAACATATCTCGAGTTTGATCCCGTGGAATTTGGTATGCCCTACCTGGAGCCGATGCCAGAGCCGCCAGCAATTATGTCAGGTGGAGAGAGCGAGGAGGCGGAGGAGGAGGAGGACGAGGGCGAKCAGAACGACGGGGAGGCGGTTGAGGACAACGACGAGGAGCCATCAGCGGAAGCTTAAGTGTTATATATATATACATGTGCATATATATATATACTACAGATACATACATACATATGCATATATATATAAATATAGGTTTTTAAGCGAGAATTACAATTAAATTTCTGGTGCACTTCTGAAACATTCAACAGGAAATATTTACCGGGTGACAATTGGCTGACTATCTACTAAATTATGATTAAAATATCTGAGAACGAAGAGTTGTAAAAAATTTATATTAATTGGTAATATAACCCTATAAAGTGTATAATAATAAAATAAAAGACTTTTAAGTATATGAACTGAACGAATACAACATTTGTTTAATTATTTTATTTTTTAAGTATTAATAAAAGGAAAATGTAAATAAATAATAATAAAATCATAATAATAATAAAT